GGAGAACTCAAGCGTCCTACCCTCGGCGTCAAAGCGCAGAACCCTAGGGGTCCCCATAGCGATACCGAAGGGGTGGGAACTGCTGTTGCCGAAACCCTAAACGCCCGGAGGGCCTGCGTAGTGCGTGACAGACAGTGCGGCGCGACAGACAGGACGCGACTGGCAGGGAAGGGCGCGACAGGCGCGGACGGGCAGAGCGCACGGGGTGCAACCGACGGGCAGGGCGCACGGGGCGCCACGGACGGGCTGGGCGCACGGGGCACGACTGACGGGCAGGGCGCAGCGGGGGCGCGACGGACGGGCAGGGCGCACGAGGCGCAACGGACGAACAGGGCGCACGGGGCGCGTGCGAAGGTACGGGACGGGAAGCGCGACGTGGACGAGACGGACGGCGCGACGCGACCGGACAGCAGGGGATGACGCGACGAGACAGCAGGGACGACGGGACGGGATGGGACAGCAGAAGGTATGGGACGGGACGGGTAGCAGGGGAGACAGGACGAGACGGGACAGCAGGGGGGAACGGGATGGGACGGGACAGCAGGGGGGAATGGGACGGGAAGGACAACAGGGGCGATGCGACGGCAGGCGCAGCGGGCGCTAGGCACGATAGAGACGAGCGCGATAGGCGCTAGGGGCGTAATGGGCACTAAGGTACGGGACAGGCTCGGGCGCTACGGACGTGAACGAGAGGAACGGGATCCCACAGGATCCTAACCTAGGTGATACCATGTCAAGAATGAAAGTGTTGGTTTGACTAGTGTTGGTTGAAAAACATAAACCTAACCCCAACAGTTGTACCCCTTATAACACACATAGACCAGGCCCTCAGAAGTCAGCGAAAAAAGGCTGATTAGGGGTAAAAAGCCTGTGATTTCAGCCGTTTGGGGAGACGTTGGCCTGTTGTGGCAGCTTTTTTTAGAGTGTTTATGCTGTAAGTTCAGTTTTTTTAAAACTGTCTCTGCTGAAATATCAGCTTTTTTCCAGGTGTGTGCGCTGTCTCATCAGACTTGTATCGGAGGGCTGGGCTGAAATCCCTGTAATGGAGATCGGTTTAGGCCCTGAATTCCGGATGTCTAGATACAGCTGTTCGAGTATCCCTCCGTCAATCACGCCCAAATGGCAAGATTCCTTGCCAACGAATTCGGGAATGACATCAGTACCGAACTTTCACACCACTGCTGTCAGGTCGCAAAGGTATGTTCGCCCGTGATTGGATGTTAGTTCAACCACATCAACCAGTGGCGAATGGAATGTAACAGCGCGGCACCACGCAGGCACGTTACAGCAGTACATCACCACAAAATGGTTGCCGCGCGACTAGGAAACCCCCCCACCTCACCCACCCCGAAGCTGCAACCAGGTACGTGCATGATTCCATGGGTCGAGTCGCCTTGCATCATGGCACGGTAAGCTTGCCAACCAATCCCTCTTCACCATCACCAGCTCCTTCTTGCATAAGCCCAGGTAGCTGCTGGAGTCCCCCGTTTCTCACCCAACCTCGCTAGGGTTTCACTTCTTTCGCCTCTAGCACCAGGCATTTCTCGCCACGTTCTCTCAGTGCTCGGCACGCTCTCTCAGTGCTCGGCTCGCTCTCGTATCTGTTCCGCCATGGCTGGCCATGGCGCCGGCCTTTCAGACAACGAGGGTGACGCCGATGTAGACGACGCCGATAGCATCGCCATCGAAGAAGCCCGTACTGAGCTAGATCTTCTGCTAAGATCACCAACTACCACCAACTACCACCTCCAACCTCCAACTACTTAGGCCGCCAACTACCACCTCCAGCGCCCACTGCACCCGGTCCGGTTCCTACAATGGCGGGTAACCCGAACGTGCCTTCCAGCCCGGATTCCATCCGGTCCGTCCCTCCCGCGCCGCCCGGTGTTTCCGACACCGTTCACGTCGGCACATCGGCGTCGAAGTCGTCAGCACCGCGCACAATCAAGCTCAAGCAACAGAAACTGAGTTTCTGGAAGCCATCATCCAGCGTCCCAGTATCGGAAGCTGTTGTCAAAGAAACCACCGTGCGCCCGTCTCTGGACATCAACGTTCAGGAGATTGTTGAAGCGATTTATGCCGAGGCACTGGATAAGTACAAAACTAAGTGGCTTGAGTGTTTCCCATGGCTTGTTCTTACCAAAACTGTTCGTGGTCTGCCTGCTTTCAAATGCAGTCTCTGCACTAAGCACGCCGGTGTCAGGGGACGTTGTGGCAGGACAGGCAAATGTGCTACCGACGTCCAGACGCAGGCCTTTCGCAATCACGCCGGGACGAGAAAACACAAGCTGGCACTGGAGAAGCAAGAGGCCCTACTTGCTGCCGCGTCTAAACAGCCCCGCATCGACGAGCATCGTGCAGCGGTCGATGCAGAGAAGATCCGGGTCACGTCACTGCTTGAGGCGCTTCTGTTCATCAGCGACTGCGACGCACCCATGGGGACATGGGTGAAGCTGGTGCAGTATCTTGCCCGGAAAGGGGTTCAAGGTTTCCCTAAGAAAGGCTATGGGACGTACTATACCACGTGAGTGGTAATAACCTTTGTTGTTTACTATGTTTTACTGGCGCGGAGTCACTAATGATGTATGCCTTCTATTCTGGCAGGTACGGCTACGGCGAACTGACGCAGTCTCTGGCAACCTGGCTACAGACGACCCAGCTGGAGCATATCCTCACAAGCCCCTTCATCGGCATCGCCATCGACGAAAGCACAGACCGCGTCCGGGGGAAGCACCTTATTCTTTACGCCACCTTCGTTCGGGATTCTGTCTTGGTGACAGAGTTCATGCAGTTGATCACCGTTGAGAAAGCTGACGCCTCGACCCTCTTGAGCCTTCTGCTGTCTCACTTGCAGGCCGTGGGTGTTGACCTGCAGAGGATTTCGGGCATCAGCACCGACGGAGCGTCGGTGATGATGGGAAGTAATGCCGGACTGGTGGTTCGCCTGCGACAGCGGATTCCCCACCTCGTCTCGTGTCACTGCATCGCCCACAGGTTAGTGCCGCTTTGAATTCACAGCGTTAATTGTTTTTTTTCCTGCTCGGTGTACTGATTCTTCTTATTTCGTTTAATGCAGGGAAGCCCTTGCCGCTAAGGATGCGGCCGAAGATCTACCAGTCTTCAACATGATAGACGATCTAATCCGTGTGGTGTCGGACCTGCTGGGCCGTTCCGGCCCGAAACACCAGCGCTTCATGGACCTCCAGGAGCTCTTCACCGAGACCAGCCTGGAGGTCCAGGGGATACATAGCGTCCGGTGGCTCTCTCGGGGGGATGCGTTGCTTCGCATCCTGGCAGTGTGGCCTGCTGTCATCGTGTTCCTGCAGGAGTTTCATTCCGCCATGTTTTTGCTCGCCACTTCCTACCGTTTCCACTTCTTCATGTATTTTCTTGCTGATGTTCTTGAGCAGTTGAACATTCTGAACAGGGCATTCCAGCAGCGCCAGGTATGTTTGAGTGTGTATTTCCATGCCTTCGCTTTTTATTACTTGTTGGTACACGCGGCTGACATTCTTCCTTTTCTGACCGATGCCTGCAGCTAGACCTTGTCTCACTGCACGGTCAGATTAAGCGCACGACGACACATATCGAGATCCGATATGTGGATTGTGGGGACGACTTTGGCGGAGGCTTCAGCCGCTGGCTGTCGCCCTTCATCGAGCGTTACGGCCCCGGAAAGGACCGTGAAGTGACAGTGGAGGGGCCCGTCTCCGATGGGCGACCAACATCATTCAAATTCACGCTACATGAGGACAAGGTCAAAGGCTACGAAGGCCCGTGTGATCACGACGCCTGTGTTGAGGCCTGCACCGACTTCGCCGAACGCATCGTGGCGAACCTGGAGAGTCGGCTGAGTGACTTGGACTCGTTGTCGGGAGTCCGATTGTTCCTGCCGGATGAGTGGCCGAAGAGCAAGTTGGAGCGTCACGCACGATGCGTTGAGTGGCTGCATTTGCTGGTGACGCTGTTCAAGGCAGAGCAGGCAGAAGACATACTGCCAGGTGGAGTTGTGTTATAGTTTTCTGTTTGTTTCAATGCCATCGTATTGTTTCTCTTTACTGCCAACACACCTCCTTCCCGTTTGCTTAAGTCATCACTAAGCCCCGTCTTGCATTGTTTCCTCCCCCTCCACTTGGGTTGTTGCCATGCCAGGTATCAAGAAGCGGCAGGCCCACAAAGAGCTGCGACTGTTCTGCTCCGTCCGTGCCTCTACACCGAAGGGGGAGAGGTCTTTCCACGATGGCCTCACCGAGATTTTGAAGACTCCTGACTGGCGGGAGAGTTACCCCAACCTGGTGCTGTTGTGGGTAGCCGTGGCGGTGATTCCCCTTAGCACTGTGGAGTGCGAAAGGGGCTTCTCTCGCCAGAACGTGATCAAGTCTTGGCAGCGGAGCAGCCTCAAGCCACGGTTCGACGAGGTGGTCGAGATTTGGAGAAGCTACAAGAAGAGGAAGCCATTTTCTAATGCCCCTATTTCCACCCCAGGGGAAACCAGCAAGAAGGGTAGAGCGACAGCTATGGAAGTAGATGAACCCCATGCTGTAGAAGATGTAGGCTCTAGTGATAGTGAGGATGAAGAAGATGATGAGGATGATGATCATCTGGATAGTTAATTGTTAGTCTTACTTGTTATGAGTGGTTCAGACTTAACCGCAAAACGACGCTGATCGTTCAGCTTTTTTTCTCCTAGACAGCCTGGAAAATCAGTTTTTTTTTAATCAACTCCACTGACCGCTCAGCCATGAACTCATTCCTAAGGTTGCCCAGTCAGCCTACGCCAAAACGAATCTGAGGCCCTGGCATAGACTACAACATTTGACACCGGGTATTACGGTACCTTAATAAAAGACAACTGTGACTTCAATTCGACACATTTTTTATATCCGAACGCTTACGGAATATATCGTACAGACCTTATGGATTATAGTTTTAGTAGCGTATTTCAACATTCACGATTAGATGTCAAAAGGAAATTGATACTTGTCAAAACTAAAACATACTTATCCTTCGTTGTCATCAAGAAAGCGAAGCTGTTCGTCGAGGCTTAACGCAGTGGAAACAGCCTCCTTCTCTTGGACCTGCTCATCCACCTTCACTGCCGCGCTCAGCTCCTCTTTCCCCACGACCTCCTCCCGGATGGCCTGCAGCTCGTTGGCGACTTGTGCCATGCTTGGGCGGGCTGCAGTGCGCTCTGCGGTGCAGGAGAGGGCGAGCTCAACCACACGCATCACAGCATCTGCAGGGGCGTCCATGGTGGGGTGCTTGAGGCTGTCCAAGTCCCCCGAGGAGAGGCAGTCCGACGCCTACGGGAGTGGAGAGGGCGGGAGAAATCACAAACGGACAAAGGTGAGCCAGGTCAAGAAAACGGTGTGGACAGAACACCCCTTAGATGCCATCGAGAAGATGATATTTAAGTTCTTTTGTAGAAGTGGAACAGTACCCTCCGGGTGATCCGCACGCCTTGAGAAGACCACTTGCCAAATTAGACATGCGTAAGAATTACCACAACCAACGACTCTGCAGCAGACATGGGTGTTCCCTTCTGGAGACGACACCATTACGGAAACCCTGGTCTCACGGATAGGGTGCTTACCCATTTTGTGACCAGCTGACCCACTTCATCAGCCTCCACAAATGGTGGGCGTCCGGTAAACACGACCAGCATGAGCACTCCAAAGCTGAGAAGAAGGGTTCACAAGATGATCAGCGCACACGATGCAGAGGAAGAGCCAGAGATGGAGGCACTTCACATGAATCTTGCCACCTGACTGCAGTGTGCGCATGTCAATTGACTGCAGTGTGCGCATGTCAATTGACTGCAGTGTGCGCATGTCAATTGACTGCAGTGTGCGCATGTCAATTGACTATACGCACATAGCACCCCTCGAATTCTTCTCAAGAGATCCTGCAATGATCTAAAAGACTCCTGCAATGCTTTCTAACGGCTCCTGCAATGCCTTTAAGTAACTATTGCAATGCTCTCTAACAAACTTCTGCAATGCTTTCAATGCCTGCAATGAAAATTTAAGGGATTCTTGCAATGCTTTCCAAGGGTCTTCTGAAATGCGTTCTCAAGTTCCCCTGCAATGCTTTCCAGGGGTCTCTGCAATGCTCTCTCAGGGATTCCTGCAATCACCTCTACACATCCCTGCCTCACGTGTACACATCGCTGGCAGTGGTGGCCTTGCACGTGCTTACAGAATTGCCCTCGCCCGTCCTTACCAGCCCAAAGTCTGCAATCTTTGCCTGGTGATTTAAACGAGAGTCATTGTAGCATGAGGGATGAAGAACAGAGCATGACAAATGGTTGGGGGTGGTGCTATCCACAACAGTGTTTGGCTTGACAAAAAAGCAGGGTCTGTGAGTAAGGCTGAATATGTGGTTGCATAAGAAATGAGATTGATTTCAAACGTAAAAGGTGTCGGGTACCGTACAATAGTCATATGCTTCCTACATTAGTACGATCGCATAGGGTGACCAAGATCTGAGATATCATGAAGAAGATGTTTGATTGAAAAACCATTTGGAGCAAACACATCACTTCAGGGGAATGCGTTCATTTGCCGCGTTCGCCTAAGTTTTGGCAAGCATAAGCGTGGGAAACCAGCGGCGCGACAAAAAATCCGCAACACATCGAAACGCAACTGTCAAACGCAAAATGTCGTAAACTTGCTTTCCTGCCCTGTAATAATTCAGGTCCGACCTCAACAATTCGAATTAGTTGAAGTTCGTGGCGAACCCTGAAGAGTTTGCCTATAACCCTGATCTCATAAACACTATACTTTAAAATCAATGCTCGTGCCAACTAAAGTTCAGTTTGCCTAAGGTAAGTGATCGTTGGGTTCGAGGTAACACATGCTTAATTATGGCTTTTGCTCATGTCTACTTTGCTGTGCCACTCAGGATTTTGTCACGTAATCACAAGCTACTTATCTAGACTCGAATGCATAGGCTGACCGTTTTTTACCCAGCTTTGCCTCCATCGAGGAAATCATTATGACACTCAAACGATCTACCAGAAGCAAGCTTGCCTGCATGGTGTCGGTGATGAGGACGTTGGCAGGATTGATGTCGCGATGCACGATGCCAAAGCTGTGGAGGTACTCGACGCCCCGTGCCATGCCCGTCAGAATGTCCAGCCGCTGCTTCTGAGTCAGAGGGCGTTCGGCATCTGCAAGGAATAATAGGCAGCATGAGTGGCACAGAAGATGAGTGGCACAGAAGATGAGTGGCAGACGATGAGTGACAGAAGATGAGTGGCAGAAGATGAGTGGCAGAAGATGAGTGGCAGAAGATGAGTGGCAGAAGATGAGTGGCAGAAGATGAGTGGCAGAAGATGAGTGGCAGAAGATGAGTGGCAGAAGATGAGTGGCAGAAGATGAGTGGCAGAAGATGAGTGGCAGAAGATGAGTGGCAGAAGATGAGTGGCAGAGGATGAGTGACAGAGGATGAGTGGCAGAAGATGAGTGGTAAAAGATGAGTGGCAGAAGATGAGTGGCAGAAGATGAGTGGCAGATAATGAGTGGCAGAAGATGAGTGGCAGAAGATGAGTGGCAGAAGATGAGTGGCAGAAGATGAGTGGCAGAAGATGAGTGGCAGAAGATGAGTGGCAGAAGATGAGTGGCAGAAGATGAGTGGCAGAAGATGAGTGGCAGAAGATGAGTGGCAGAGGATGAGTGGCAGAGGATGAGTGGTAGAGGATGAGTAGGAGAGGATGAGTGGCAGAGGATGAGTGGCAGAGGGCGGGCTACATCTCAAGGATGCGTGGTACAGCATATGTGTGACACAGCGTATGAGTGGCAAGCTGCTTTAGAGTCAGAGGGCGCGCTGCCTGTAAGGAGGAGCAGCATATGTGGTGTGGTAGGTATAGCATATGGAGCCCAAAGCATATGAGCGGATGACATATGAGCGGCACAGCATGCGTGGGACAGTATATGAGTGGCACAGCATGAGTGACACAGAATACGAGTGGCACCGCATATGAAAGGCACATCACAACAACTACGAGGCACACGCATACATCACACTGGAGTGGCACACATACTTGGATCAATCCACTGGCGAAGGTCGCCATTGGGCACGTATTCATAGATGAGAACTTGCTCTGCCCGTGACCCCACGTCTCCTCCGATGGAAAAACCAAGAAGCCTCACAATGTTGGGATGGTTCTTGTCGGTCATATGCTCAATCTGATGCACATAGCCAAAGAGGGAGGGTGAGTCGCAGGGAAGAGGAGCAGATTGAGAAACCGGAAGAACAAACAAATAGCCAAGCAGGGATGCCAATGCAGAGCGAAAAAAAGGGAAAGATGTTTTTTGTCAATGTTTTCCCTTTGTGTCTTTCAATGACATTGAACAAATAAAAGCGACGCATTTTGAGTCGACTAGAGAATCTACGCGGAAAAACAATTGACAGTTCAGCCACAAAATACGCCATTCTGTTATGGCTCACCACGGCTCACCATGTATGCACCTCACTAACCTCCTTCTGAAAGTCCATGTCGATCAGCCTGGCGCGCTTCACAGCCCACTCTGTGCCATCGCGGGGAGACACGCCCTTGAACACATCACCAAAGGCACCCGAGGCCAGCTGGTTTTCCTTTGACCAGTCATTAGTGGCCTCAATGACCTCTGCCAGTGAGAACTCCGTGCAGTTCAAGGCTGCCAGGCTGCTGCCAGTGCCTGTTTAGAGTGCCAGAGGTGAAAGAAGGGACGACGGGTGCAGGGAAACAGGATTGAGTACGAGTAGGGTTCAGTAGTTTTGAGTCGATTTAAGTCGGGTCAAGTCAGGCCGACCTCAGTCGAAGCATGTGCCAAGTCGAGTTGGGTCAGACTCGTAACTTGCCCCAACTTGCTTCTAGAATTAGGGTTGACATACGGCTTATCGGTCCGCTCACGAATCATAAAACAGACGACTCCATATGTACTCGGAGGTTATAACGAGCCAGGCTCCCAGAGCCCCTCCTAAGTTCTGACTTTTGAGTCGACTCAAAAGGCAACCGAGCCAGGCTCTGAGAGCCCCTCCTAAGCATTTGCAGCTCCAAAAAAAGACATCATAACACCATCTATTGCCTCGACACTCTGTCTCACCAAGGCTCCAGAACTGTGTAGCTCAGGTTTACGTCCACTATTCACAAGCCAAGGAGGCATACCAGCCTGTAAGCTTGTGACTGAAGTAAATGCGTGTGCCAAGTCATGGTACTTGTGGCGAGTCAATCTCACTCAATTCAATGCCAGAGATTAGAGAGGTTAATCTCATCTCAATCTTGGTTGAGCAGAGCATCACTAGATTTGCAGACCTGCATGGTCATGTGAAAGCTTATGCAGTGAAAACCTTGTTTCTCACTTAAATCCATGTTGCAAATAGCCACACACAACTGCATTAACAGAACAGAGTCTGGTTAATCAAATCATACTCTTCTTTTGCCGGACATAAAGCAGAACGGCGGCCAGAAGGAGGAGAATGACCACAGCAGCAACAACAATGCCAATGATGACTCCCACTGACACTCCACCTCCACCTCCTGCTGAAGAAGACTCGCTGCTGCTGATGCTGCTGCCTCTGCTGATTTCTGCGAACGACATGAGCATAGATCCACGCACGCAGTGGGGATTGCTGCAAGCTGATCAGAAACAGAGTTAGCAAGCGAGGTATTATCATTTTTACACATCCTTGCGCCGCGGGATGCCATGCATTCTCATGTGATGCCATGAATTCTCATGGGATGCCATGCATTCTCATGTGATGCCATGAATTCTCATGGGATGCCATGCATTCTCATGTGATGCCATCATTCCTATGTGATGCCATGCATTCCCATGCGATGCCATGCATTTCCATGCGATGCCATGCATTTCCAAGCACTGCCGTGCATTCCCATGCGCTGCCATGCATTCCCATGCGTTGCCAAGCATTCCCACCAGTTACCATGCATTCACATGCGTTCCCAAGCATTCTCATGCAGTACCATGCATTGCTTGCTACACCGATATTGTTTCGAAAATCGTATATCTCTGGCGCAACACTCCCAACTCCAACCAAAACGCACTGAGCAATGCATCACATCGTGACTCATTGCGTTCAACTCTGAACTAATACCTGGCTGGTAATAATTTACTTGCCTGCAGATTGGTTGGTGCACGTATTGCAGAAGGGGTTACACGTGCGGCAAAAGGATGTGGTAGGCAATTGTGTTATGCCACAGGCAGAGCCGTCAGGTGGGCATGTGAGGTTGGTGCCAGAGATTTTTCTGAAGTGGAAAAGGGGAGATGGAGAGGCAGAAATCAGGAGCACAGCTGCACAGACATTCATTTCAAGTTTAACCGGATCGGTGGTAGGCTAATTGGTTCTCAAGGTGGGAATGGAATGGGGATGGTGGCTAGGCACGGAGACATTGCCACCCCGGCAAAAGCTGCCAGTCGCTGTAACTCCTGCAACAATTCTCTCCTTGCGCCACCATGACCTTTCCTTGCGGCATTAGCTCTCACACTGCCTACAGTTCCATTTGGATCCGGTACATGCTCAAGGATTTTATCAGTTCCAGGTCCAATTCAGGTTCAGTGCTTGCTCAAGAATGCTCACAAGCTACAAGTTTGGTTCGAGTTGGACTTGCTCAAGCCTACTCACAAGTACTTCAATGAAGTGAGGCCTCCCATCTCGGGTGGAATCTCCCCACTGAGGTCATTAGCAGCGAGGTTTCTGCTCACATGGTTCGACGGAGAGTGCAGGAGTAAGCGCTGTTAGCCTCTGCACGCAGGAACGCAGCGACATGCATCCACCCATCCACGTGAACCCATGCATCCATGCAAATTTATGAAGGCATGCATGCACGGCAGCAGCTATAAGGCGCGGTTCACCATTGAACTGGTGATAGCACATCCCAGCATGCTATGGAACTGGTGATAGCACATCCCAGCATGCTATGGAACTGGTGATAGCACATCCCAGCATGCTATGGAACTGGTGATAGCACATCCCAGCATGCTATGGAATAGCAAGAGGGGTGTGAAGCCTGTGGAGGGCCACATATCAATCATAATAGTGAGTTGATGGCTGAGAGCGCAGTGCAGGCTTGGCACATGAGAGCGCGGTGCAGGCTTGGCACATGAGAGCGCGGTGCAGGCTTGGCTGACACATAACATAATAGTTCTTGTGAGCTTCTTACAGATAGGTGAGGCCATTAAGGAAGGCGAAGTTGGTGAACATGGGGCCACTCAGGGAATTGGATGAGAGATCCCTGTGCATCGTGTGTTGGGGGTTGAAAGGATTGAAATAAGAATAGCAGGCAAGGCAGGATAGTTGGGTCCGGAAGCACATGAAAGCGGCCCAAGAATGTGACAATGTTAACTTAAATGGTAGCATGATGTGATTGTAAACCAATTGTGGTGTACAGTTGAGTTGGGGATGTACCCCCAGTTTGGGTGTACATTTGTGTTGGGGTCCCTTTGTGATGGAATCTCCAACACAAGCAATTAGGTGATTGATGGTCGTTCCACATTGGTCCCAACCTTGTCATTGGTCTACCCAACATAATGTAGGACCTATTATGGTTGCCCATTCCAACCACCATATTGCCAGACCCCAACCACCATATTGCCAGACCCCAACCACCATATTGCCAGACCCCAACCACCATATTGCCAGACCCCAACCACCATATTGCCAGACCCCAACCACCATATTGCCAGACCCCAACCACCATATTGCCAGACCCCAACAACCATATTGCCAGACCCCAACCACCATATTGCCAGACCCCAACCACCATATTGCCAGACCCCAACCACCATATTGCCAGACCCCAACCACCATATTGCCAGACCCCAACCACCATATTGCCAGACCCCAACCACCATATTGCCAGACCCCAACCACCATATTGCCAGACCCCAACCACCATATTGCCAGACCCCAACCACCATATTGCCAGACCCAACCACCATATTGCCACCCCAACCACCATATTGCCAGACCCCAACCACCATATTGCCAGACCCCAACCACCATATTGCCAGACCCCAACCACCATATTGCCAGACCCGAACCACCATATTGCCAGACCCCAACCACCATATTGCCAGACCCCAACCACCATATTGCCAGACCCCAACCACCATATTGCCAGACCCGAACCACCATATTGCCAGACCCGAACCACCATATTGCCAGACCCCAACCACCATATTGCCAGACCCCAACCACCATATTGCCAGACCCCAACCACCATATTGCCAGACCCCAACCACCATATTGCCAGACCCCAACCACCATATTGCCAGACCCCAACCACCATATTGCCAGACCCCAACCACCTCCTTCCCGTCCACCTCTTGCATCCTACCTACGTATACCCTTCGTTCCTTAATGAATTTAACTTCTTGACTTCTAACAGACGAGTCAAGATTGCAACAGGTGGCGAACCATGTTGGGAGCACAGGTGAGGAGCACGGACAGCATTGGACTGAGACGGAGATGGAAATAGCTGCTGAGAGGTGGGGTTAAGTTTAGGGAGCATGGTGGTTGAGAGGAGAATGGATGTGGGAAGGAGCACAAGGATGCGTGGCATTGCCACACAGCACACAAGTCGTGGGCTTTAAGATTGTATCATCACAGCAACGCATTGATATCAACGATCTACAGACGTTTAGTCGATCATCCCAGTGCTGTTAACAAGCCAATGGTAGTAGCCAGGACTGCCTGGTAGTGAAGTCATGATACTTACAGGTTCACCAGGTTAATCAAGCGACTGAGAAAGTACGGAAGAGACCCAACCAAGC